AGTATGAATGATGTGTAAGAAAATGTTCTTTTTGTGTGTGTGTGTGTGTGTGTGTGTGTGTGTGTGTGTGTGTGTGTGTGTGTGTGTGCTGTCTTTAAACCAGAAAACTTAATCAAGCATGCTGTCAATGTTGTGTCAGTGGCAACCCAACAATGCAAAGCCAATGCGTTTATGCGGCTTTGCCATCAACATGATGAGGAACGATAGTTGTTACCATGACGTCCATCTGTTGTTGCCACGAGAGACAGATGCTGTGACCAACAGGAAGTGACTTTCCATGGATGCCTACACGGACAGAGTGGCACACACATGGTTGCCAATAACTCTAAAACCTCCTTATTTTGTGAACATCACGGTACATGCATGTGTGAAGATGTTTCTGTTTTGCGAGCGCACATTTTGTGTGGATTAGGAGTCCGCATGAGGCTGATCTTTTCTGAATGAAGAAATTGGCCTTGGTCTTTGATAACTTTTAAACTATACTAAGGCTTAATTATTTATCACCTCTGAAAAGAGGTACATCATCTAGCTTTGTAATTGATGAACAGTTTCCAGTTTTTCAAAGAGGAAAATCCCAGATAACCACAGCACATTGCAACTTAATCTGATGTCCGAGCATGTGAAATGTTGTTGCCCATGCTTGAAATAATATTGCAAGTTGAAATGGGATTTGCCATTACAGTGCACACTACAGAAAATGATGTCATGAAATTATCGTGCCTGGGCATGTTTAGTTCCAAACTGTTTAGTTGGGTGATGGCATGCAAGGGGCTCTAGGACATTTGGATTCCTGCAAGCATATATTTGATTGCCATATCGAGTTAAAGTTGTACAAAATGAAAAATGTTGGAAACGGCATTCCCAAATCCCATAAAATAGACATTTATCACGATTGTGTTTTCTTGTTTTTGTTCCTGATTGTAAAGTGTCCTTGGGTGTCTTGAAAGGCGCTTATACATAAAATGTATTATTATTATTATTATTATTAAACCTAGGGAATAAATGGGTTCCTTCCATCCATCCAATTTCTGAGCCGCTTTATATCCTCACAAGGGTCACGGAGGTGCTGGAGCCGATCCCAGCCGTTTTCAGGCAGTAAGCGGGGGGCATCCTGAACTGGTTGCCAGCCAATCGCAGGGCACACAGAGACGAACAACCATCCACGCTCACACCCACACCGAGGGACAATTTAGAGTGTTCAATCTCCCTGCCATGCATGTTTTAGGAATGTGGGAGGAAACCGGAGTAACCAGAGAAAACCTACGCAGGGAGAACATGCAAACTCCACACAGGGACGCCGGAGCTGGAATTGAACACCGTATGTCTGCACTCTGAAGTTGTGCACATGTGTACACTGTACATGTATGTCCATGAGGCCAAGCCTGCCAAGTACCAGTAGCACGAGCAGAGCTGGGCAAGGCAGTGTTGCCCAGAAATAAATAAATAAAAACTTTGGACTGAAAGCATTGGCAAAAACTACACTCAAAGGTATCAGCTACAAAGGCCTAAAGTAAAGAGAGTTTACTTAAACAACGATATTGTTTATTATTGTGGTTGTAGTTTCTAATGTGATAAGTCACTACACCGTGTGATGAGACATTGCAAGTTAGCAAACCCCAGTACATCGACGATTAATAAAGTGATTACAAGCAACATCTCACGGGGGCGCGCTATAATAATGTGCAGTGTGTGCTTCAAAACACTTAACAGCAAAACAATTTGGTTACAATTCTCTATAGAGAGTTTAGTGTAAACAAATAACTCAAAGATTAAATTATAGCACAAAGATTGGAATGAAGTGTCCCTTTTGGATGCATTTTAAATTATCTCACTTCAACGATGAGTTCCCTGCTACAACTTACAGCCATGAAATGACGCCCTTGCAGAGATTTCGGGATGGCGAAGAAGTGTTTTTGCCACATTTAAATATGAGCATGTAAAAATGAAATGTGAAAAAAAGAAAACATGGACTCCGTCATGCCTTCAAACTCATTAATCATGTGCATGTCCTACATGACCCCAGACAGCAACTTCAGCATCACCTCACACTTAATGCCTGTTGCCTCTGGTCAAGTATTATTGGGTCCCGTGATATTCATTAGAGAGGAAGACTTTGCGTTTGGGACAGTGTTTGCCTTTGCATCATGGCGTCGATGATTGATAGCAACATTCTAAGAGAGTTGCTACCAGTAGCTGGCCAGCTGTTTAACTTTGAGGGCAGCTGCACCAAGGCCTCGTGGGTAATGGAGTCCTTAAGCAATTACAATCTGGGGAAATTAAAAATACAGTCCCAACAGAGCAACTAATCTCTTTCACCATCACTTCTTTTTCTGCTCTCACTCGCTTCGGCAGCTGCTCACTGGAAACCCTTTCTGGCATTCAGACAGCCCAACGCACACACAGACTCCATTCAGCAAGTCCATTTATCAAGGCTAAGTTCCGGTCACCTGGGGATGATTATGGAGATCCGAGCTAATAGCATTCACGTCCTTATATTCTCTACAAGCTCCCAACTCTCCCTCCATCCCTGTGGTCTTATTTTCCTTCCATCTGCTTCTGCTCTACTCTTCATGTGGCTTTCTCTCATATATCACAGACTACAATAGGCAATAACTTACAGATAGCACTAAGCACCTGGACCTCCTCACAGCTGGACCGTCTCTAACTCTCGCGTGTTTTCTTTGCTTCCCTAATTAGTCAGTTGGCCTAGACCACTGGCCCAAGACATCGGCCTTTGCTGATTACCCGAGTTCATCACCGGTTGCCTTTTCATGTGCAGTTAACGTTAAACAAAACAGTGCACAGGCAAGATTACAGATCAGCTCTGTTGAGTTCGTTCTCGTGGTGCCAATATCGCAACTAATCATCTCGCAATGCAAACAAAAAAAGCAACCGCTCTTCTGATATTTGTTTTGACATGACTCCATTCTGAACTGGAATGATATTTATTGACCCAAGCCCTGACCTAAATGAAAACATTCTGCAACATTTCTGTTTTGAAAGGGTTAGCCAAATTTGTTTGGATACACCGCCTTGTCCTGTTGATTTGTTTCTATCCACTTACTAAATAAACTACATGGACGGGAAGAACAATAAACACAAAAAACAAAAACAAAAACCAACTAGAAACCAGCATTGTCTACTGTTAAATGTGTTCATGTGGCAGGCAATACATGAGCTTGCTGGCACACATCATGCAAGCCAGCTACAAATCGCCAATGACCCCCCAGCTAATTGATGTGAACTTTCAGCTAATACATTTGACAGATGAACAAAGATGGTGAGCGCTATCTAAGGGCACTGTGCCACTCCAAAGCTCAATGGCTGCTTCCCCAGTACGTATTCTTTTCATTCTATTTCCAACTCCTTTTTTTTTTACTCGCTTTCTCTCCTTCTTCTCCATCCATCCATCCCTCCTTCCCTCCCTCCCTCGGCTATTCAGCACAGTAGTGTTCCAGACAAACCATCTGGTCCACTTTATTAATGACTGACCCTTCACGGCCTCGACGTCGCCTAGCTGCCACCAAAGCGTTCGAGTGAGTGTGTATGTGTGTGCATGTGTGTAAGAGCAGGTGCATGCTGACAATTTTTTTTTTTTTGCAGGTTTGCCCAACAGAAGCAGGTGTAACACTAACACCATGGTTTTACTCTTGTCACATAGTGTTAAGAATGCACTCAAAAAAAAAAGTTTTAAAAAAGTAGTTTGCCAGGCTTCCCATTGCTATGAAGGAAGCCATTGTACAAAGCAACTGTATTATTATTATTATATTTATTCTACAAATATATTGCTAATGCTTTATTTTATATTGCATTTATATTGAACTGTGTACAGTTCTTTTCTGAAACATTTATTTTGTGCAATGAAACACTTTATTGCGCCCCCCCCCCCCCCATTTTGCTGCTGTAGACTGCAAATTTCCCCAGTGTGGGACAAATAAAGGTTATCTTATCTTAGCTTATCTTATTCAAATGTATGTAAATAATATTTTCAAATAATCCATTAATGAAAAACAAGCAACTGAAACAAAGTTTGGAAAAAGTCTCATGTATCATAGAGGGTTTCTGCAAGCTCGGGCATATTTCCACTGTCTAACTTTCAGTCGTGTTCTCTGGAAGAAGGGTGTGAAAGGATGCCTGCTTACATCCAACCCTTGACAATAAGATTCGGATGAGACCGATCCGACAGAAAGAAAAGCGAGCAGAAAAAGATAAGAAGCGGAGCAGCTGTGCAGTTGCCTGGGGATTGATCCCTCTAAGACGCACTCAGCGTCTCCTCGGAGAATCAAGTGAAAGGGGGGGGGGGGGACAAAGGGAATGACTTATGAAGACGCTCCACATGAAAGAGATGTGTCAACACTTTGATGGTAAAGAGTGAGAGAGTATAAATGCGAGAGAGGATGGAACATATAACATGCAAGGTGTAGCACAGGAGGTCACACTCGAGAAAAATGTCCAAGAAGCTTCCGTCAGAAGAAAATAACTATGGAAAAAAATAAAATCACAGTTGTGTCAACTATTTTACACATACTGAACACGTCGTCTCCCGAACATTCCTCCAAAGTCACCAATCTGATGTCGCATGCTATTGGTGGGTGGGTCACACAAACCAATTAGTATTAACGTGTACCATGTACTTTGTAACAATAACGTGTTTTGAAATGGCTTCAGAAGAAGCAGATGTGGGCTCAGGGAATTTAATTCCCAAGAAAAGTAGCACGTCACAGAGTGTTTCAGGTTTGAGCCAGCAGATGTCAGAGATGCCAAATGTTCCGATTTCTCCGTATTTTGTTCCACTGTCAGAGATAAGTTGAAAAAAAAGAATCAGCATAGGCAAGTGTGCACCCTCAATTCACAGGGGCAATTTATGACACAAATGTAGGATCTTTAGTAGTATATTTTATTTTATTTTTCAAGAAGTGGTTTCAGGGACGCCTGACAGGGGAATTTTGTTTCCAGAGGAGACCTTCCTACTTTTAAAGACCACTACAGACAACTACTACGCACGCTTCTAAATGCCATGGGATTTCTTCTCTGTTTTTTGTTTTTATGGTTTCAACCAAAATGCTTCTGACCTGTTGAAGTCATTCACTGCGGTTTATATTCGGCAAATGGAATCCAACCACTGGCTGCCACCATTGGACAAGTACAGCAGGGGTTTTTTTGGGTGTCACCTGGCTTGTCTGTGAAATTCAGGTGTGTAAACCACCATATTGACAATCAGATGCCTGTAGATGACTGGATTGCATCTGACAATCAGCACAGCTTTTATTTATTTTTGCGATCACGAGGAATTCTGTGAACACAAAGGAATTGAACAAAATTCATCTAATCAAACTTAAAATCTAATCATTGTCGCGAGCTGACATGAACCGCTTCCAATAACATGGCTGTAAACCGAGGGAGCTAGTTCACAAAAACAAAGTCAGTCTTTTTGTCTTCAATGTCCTTTCCAACCTCTCCATTTTAACAATTTTGTCATTTAATTTTTTGCTAAAACAAGACAATACAGGTCTGAGCAGAATAATTCTCACATTGTTTTGAGTAAAACCACAGGATATCAAAGTCAGATGCACTAATCTTTACCAAACACATGGTGCCCATTTGTACATACGGTACACAAATATTATGATTTATTGACATGTTAGAAACATTTTAGCCCATCCTTTTGCTTCCAAGCCTTCCTCACCTGTGCAACTCAACATGAGAAAAGAGAAGAAAAGAGAGCCACAAATGTTGTGCACTGGGTTAGAATTCTCTGATACGTCACTGTAATGTCAGAGCTGTTAATTGACACAAAGCTAAGGTAGGGAGAAGTAATTTTTTATTGTTGGGTTTTTTTTTTTTTTTTTTTTTTATTGGTGTGCCAGTGCCCACATGTAGTTATGCACATGATGTACCGCAAATTATTTTGAACCCTCGATGTTGAGAACCACTGTTCTAAAGCGTTGTTGGTAGCAGTTCTAAAATTCTATTGAGTTTTATCACAGCTGCAAGACCTGTCGGGTTTGGGACAGGTGCTTGACTGATAGATGCCTCATTCCGTCACCTCCAGTCTTAGAATACGCTAATCCAAAATAAATCCGTCCACTTAGTTTCCACTTGGAAGACACTTGGAACTCACGACGAGGCTTTAACACTGAGAGTAAGACGCACGCATTAATATTTGGTACCTTCAAATGACGACTTGATATATATACACACATGTGGGTTTGTCTTTTGATAGCTTTTGGGATTAGTAATATTAGAATCTGTATAGAAGTTATAGAGAGACGACAGAACTAGAGCAGAGTTGGGGATTTTAAATGACAAGAGGCAGGCATGTGTTTCCTCTTTACCCACACAGACAAATTTGTTGAAGTGTGTAATTCTAATTCCTGTACATGCACATGCGAGGAGGAAAAGTCCAACCTGAAATAAGAACACGTCACTTCTCATATTGGAAACTTCAAAGTACTTGAGGTTTGGATTCAAGTTGGATTACCGGTATTTATTTATTCATTTATTTTATTTGGTAGCTTTTACAGTGTACATTTTAAAATTCAGTTGTGCAGTACTTGTATGAGAAATGTCGTGTTGTTCTTGCGCTGTTGCCGTATAACAGCAGCTCAAGGAAAACGACTATCAGATTTAGAATGGATCGTCGCTCCTTCACAACTCCCAACTGGCTACAAGAAATCGCTGTGTTTTTTCACGCGTTTAATGAATAATTGAGCAGTAGCTCGTGACGAATCTGCAGACAGGAAACACAATTGCTGGAGTGACATTGCAAAATTGACTGACGCGCCCTCTTCTAGTACTACCAGAGAGAACAATTTACAGGTGCAGATGTTTCCAGGTGTTCATCTATCACTAGGCTATGCTTGTATGTTCACCCTAACACGATTTAAGTGAATGGAGTTATTTTTTTTAAGTGGCACGCTTCAGCTTAGAGCCAATGTACATTTCACCTCCCAAGTGCAGTTTTTCTTTTTTTTTTTCAAATGCTGAGAGGATAGTTTCAGCATAGAATCTTATCTGTCTCATCTTTTTCCTTGCCCTGGAAAACTAATTAGTATTTATCAATAGAGATCCTAGGTTCAATATTTTAGTGACTAATATACAATTTATACGAAAGTAAAAGGATAGAGCCGCCCCATGGAAATTATAATGCTGAAATGATGCATACGGATCCACAAAAAAAAAATGGCTAACATTTGAATGGTTAAAATGAATGACTGTATTGTCGCCTTGTGTGCACTGACCACATGTGGAGGCACTTGATCCATCTTGGCGGCTGGTGTCCCAGGTCTGGGGTAGAACTGATTGATGAAGAGACTGGGGAATCGATAACATTTCACCAGGTCTATAGTTTCGCTGAAGTCTTCCTCCGTCTCGCCGGGAAAGCCACAGATTATATCTGTCGCTATTGTTACACCTGGGACCCTGCGAGAGAGACAGAGACGAAGAGTGTGAAACGCTTCCGTTTCAATTAATAACTGCAGTGTACAATGGGATGCGAAAAACTTTCAAGCTAGAAAGACCACGTCTCCCTTTCAGAATCTTCCCAATTTCTTACATATGATACATGTATGTAGGGAAGTAAACAATATTCTGACCTCAACCCCATCAGACACCTTGAAGATGAATTTGAAGAGTGTTTACAAGCCAGCAAATATGAGATAACATCTATTACAGAACACATCTGACACCACAAATGCACACCATTAGATAAATGGCTTTGCTTGGGACAGCTGCTACCACTGCTGCTTGATAAATTTTCTATTGGAAAAAAAATGTAGATGAGGTTTGTGATAGACCAACATTTTGCCATCGCCGTAAAACTAGAAAACATTCGTCAGAAAGGCAGGGCTGGTCCCCATGGACTCATTTAGCCTATCAAAACCTGATTTGGAAACCTTTAGCCAATTGGTTGCTATTGATTATTGATCTGCTTGCTCACTGGATTAATTAATTGGCCGGGAAAAGGGAATACGTGAATTGATTTGCTCTCGATATTGTGTTTGCATTGGCGAGTGCTGGAGAGCATGTGCAAGAAACTCAAGGCCAGGTAATCAGAGACACCACCCCCCCAAAAAAAAAATTAATAAATAAAATAAACCAGCTCTCTCGAGTGCATACTTGACATTACAGTTTTAATGTATGCTGTTTTCACATGTTGCTGTACAGTTTTAATGATTAGCTCAAATCCCTGAGGTGTTTGGCCTCACGCCTGATGGCTAAATCAGCTGTCAATTACCACAAAAGGGCAAAATTAGCAAGAAGAGACCTCGGACAAAAACAATGTTCAGAAGAAAAAAAAGTTAGTATTGTTCCGATCTGATCACGTGATTGGAAATTGGGCCAATCACGGTCTGACGCTGCTGTCTTAAACATGACACTTCAGCATCGGTAAACAGCTAAACATGTCTTAGCAGTAAAACACCTTGTTGGGAATGCTTTATGCTGGCATGGGTGTTCGTTTCAGCAGGTTGGCAACACTGCACGAAGCGAAAAGTTCAGATTTTAGTTCGTATTCTTAGGGCAGGATATTTGAATATACGGTAGTTTGTTTGCAGAGCACTGGCGTGCTACGAAAAGACGATACGGTGAAACCCTGATTTAACGGACTACTAGGATGGAGGGGGTCGTCCGTTGAAGATGATTTTCCCATTAATTTCAAGAGATTATTCAAGGCCCCAAAACACCCAATAGAGTACAACATTATTATTGGTACATTCTGTGGCCTAAAAGCACCCAGTAAAGGATAGCATTTTTGTAAATAAATAAAAAAAAAGATTTATTCAAACGTAAGTTAGCGGTGCTTTAATGTGTGTAGCTGGTCACTTTTATGAGGCGTGAGGTTGGAGTGCTTCCTTTTTCACCTCCGTTATGATTGCATGCCACAAAGACGGGATTGACAAAAAGAAAGAAAAAACAAAAAAAAAAAACAACAGTATAGTGTCCCACAATCTATATAGCATGTTTGAGAGATGTGGAAACAACAAGCACATGATATGATATGATATAGATATAAATATGCAAATACAACACGACCATTTTGAGCTGCGCGGCTACAGAGACAGTTTTATTCAAATGAAAAAATATATATACAAGACAATTGAGACAAATTAGATGTGCCCTTTTTTTTCTTCTTAAAGTATTGCTCAGGTCTCGAATCAGAATGTTGACTTGGGTAGGAAAAAAAAAAAAAAAGATTTATGGGAGATGTTTGGGCATACCAGCATCCTGAATTTGATTTGGAGGCATTTCTTTCATTAAGATCGTGCAAATACTGTCGTATCCATTTAAAAATGACTGTAATCATTCTGATGACAAACAAACAAGGGAAACGATTGTCTACAATCTGTATTAAATGACCCTGTATTGAAATGATCCTTATATTTCAACACAAAGTTAAAAAAACAAACAAAAAAAACTGAGAAGAAAGGAAGTTAATCTAAACTATTGATTAACGCCATTAGGAGATTGAGAAAAAGACATTGAGTAAACAAAAAAACAAGAAGCAAACAAAAGAAGAAATGACCTGCCCAGTCAACATCTTTGATCATCATTGATTGCATTAATTTCCTGCATCTGCAACCCCTTGATAACCCGTGACCTATTGATGAGTTCCAATTGGCTGATGGCCATTAATATTAACCAATGGCCTTCAGGCGCAATCATCCTTGACCTCTGAGATTTAACTGATCACTTCCCGAATGAAAGGAAAATAAAATGCGGAAGGGAAAAGTGAAAATACATGTGTCAAGTGAGCATTATTTCTTTACGAATATATGAATAAACATACAGAGTGAGTGTACTAAACCGCGAGTATGCGTGGTTCCACTCTACAAATATGTAAAACATGCCAATGTGTAGTGTGCATACACACATACATACATACAGCACATAAATACATACAAATGTGTATTACGGCTCTGCAATTATTTATGTTCATATTGTGTCACATAAATTATCATCAGGATATTTTGCAGTTGTCGTTTTCTTTTTTTTTTTTTTTAACTTTTTTAAAAGGCCAGTTTTGAAAGCAACTGTTCTGAAATCCTTAGAAGAGAGAGAGCAATTTAACATCCCAGAAATTAAGGAAAAAGTGGACCGGAATGTAAATTCTAAAGTATATCTATATATATATTTTTTTTTAGCCAGCAGTACAATAAATGCAACCGAATATATTTTGTAGAACACGGTGAACCACTTTCTTGAATGAGTATTTGCAGATATGCAAATATACACATCGAGCCCCCTCAGGGATATATTAAAGATGCCTTGAAATGTGGACACGATAATTTTCAAGTTATGAAGTTATTGCGACTTGCAAACGTGCATCATCTTGGATACATAGTTTCACATTAACACAATGCACAAACTATTTAATAATCTAAAAATGATCAAGGCAGGCAAATAGCTTGCTAACAACAACACTCTTCATGGTCGTTAATTCAAACAGTAAACCCAATTTTACATTGGCTTGGTGAGCAAATATGGCAAATAAATCTGTGGGGAAAAAATAAATCACTCAAGAGTGCATAGAATGTAGAAAAATAGAGCAGTGCACCGGTTTGAATCGCTCAGTATTTTTAAAGGTGTTAAAAAAAAAAACTGTAAATTTAGGGATATTGAAGACACAGATTGTAAATGGGATCACTTATGTCGATACATACCTTCTTCACATTGTTGCCACTTTCCGTGTTTAATATGAATACGTGGCTGGTTTTACCATGATCCAAATCACCTGAATAATAATGAAGCTGCGAGTGATTGCTGCTTTGCTTGCATCCAGTGGCCTCTTTGCTGGAAGCAGCTGAACTGCTAATGCTATGTAACATTAGCGCATATGTGGCAGCACGATCGTGTGCTGGCAGCAGTGAATGACAGGCTCTGTTTTCGTTCAAATTTGTCTCATGTTCACATAATCACTTGTGTGGTACTTCTTGGACAGACTTTACGGATGGCTTGCCCGGACAACGGGGTCACTTGAGCTGGCCTGATCATTGGATAAAGTGGTTGTTTTTTTATGGCAAATATACTGTACAATATCACATTCACTCATAATTCATTAATAATATCAAGTATAAAGTACAACTTTATTGTCATCTGTGCTGTATACAGCACAGATGAAATTTCCTCCCTCTTAAACAGACAACAAGATATACAATAACAACAATTATTTTTGAAGTTAGCGGAAAAGAAACCTTTGAGTCAACGTGCATATCTTACACACCATGTGATTAACCTTTTCCAGTGCTCTGACTTGAATGTGGCATATCACTCACTTAGTTTTCCTGTTTGATGCTTTCTACCGTCTTTGTTACTGATTTATTGCTTTATTGTTGTATGTATGATAGTTGCTCCATGTACAGCACTTTGCATACAGCGATGGCTGTTTTAAAGTGCTCTATAAATACAGTTGAGTTGAGTTCATGACATTTAACAGCATCTGAATCATGAATAATACCTTTGTCCTTCCACATGGTACTGATTAGCAATTTTATTAGCAAGAAGGTTAAAAAATAAATAAATAAATAAATACATGTGTACAGTATATGCAGAAACATAGTAGAACGACGGATCGGTTTAATCAATATTAACTTATATGACTATTTTCTGTCTGGAGGCTTCTTGTAATGATTTAGTCAAAGCCACCGAATGCTTTTGGTGTTTTCAATGTACCCACAGAGTTGTACGTTTTATTAGCTTTATATATGGCTTGTAGGACCAATACAATTTTACATCACACTAAAATCTCAGTTTCTCAATATTTCGGAATAGTTATCATAAATAAATAGATTATAAATTAGTTGTGATTGCTGATATGTAATGTTCTTGTCACTGGAGCATATGAGCATATTGCTTCAAGCTATCATAATCAATGGGAGGGGAAGTACATAAAAGTCATTAATTAACATGCATATTTTGCTTTTCTTTCTATCATTTATTTTTTAATCACCAAGGGGAGTTGTTTCATTTCCTGTTTGTAGCCTTTGGTGGTGGTGGGGGGGGGGTTGTATTCTGCAGCCAGTGTGACATTATTTTACGAAGCGCATTCACACCATCGATGGACAAAAATGTACAAATCCGGCCAAACTGTAAAATAGCACACAGAGATGGAATACTGTAAGAAATATGTGCAAATTGACTTTAGTGGATTAGGTCGAGGCTGAAAAGAAAGAAAAAAAAGAAAGCATACAACACGCTGTCATTTTGACACCTTTGTTTCTCCCAGATCTGAAGGTGACATAGTTGTGATATGAGATCATAATGAACGAGGACCGCATTTGTACACTCCTTGTTAAAATGAGATCGAGAGGAATATTGCTTGTTATTGCTCAACTTTCAAAACCAGAGTGGGAGAAAAAGAGAGATGGAGGTAATGATACCAAGACAAGGGTGGAAATCAGGACACATGCCATATGAGTTTCCAC